TCTCATCAGCATTTGGGGGTTATCAATGTTAGCTTCCTCTCACCGTGCATTTGCCGCTGTTGCTACCAAACGAGTCGCAGTGGTGAGATATCAGTTTTAAACGTGAATGCGTTTGTTATGTGATCTGAATTTTTAATCGCATAATAGGACTATATTTTTCGACCTAAAATCTGGGTTTAAAAATGAATCTACAGCTGAACGCATTCAGGTTCTCTCTGGATGTGGCCACCTAGACGGCAGTGAAATTCGCGAAGCGGTGTTTGTGCTCACCGAATTGAGTCGGGCCAACACCAAATACCAATGCTTTGCTCCAGACATCCAACAGATGCACGTTGTGGACCACTCAGATGGGGTAGACCTGTCGGCTCTTGAGAACTACCAGAGCCGCTGTTTTTGTAGTCCATAGATTCTGGTTCGAAACGCAACGTGTTGGTGGAAGCTTCACGCATTGGAAGGGAAGGTGAGTTCAGTATTCATGTGGGATATTCACGAACTTAGATTTTTATCGAAAGTTTTCTAGTTTTGGAAAAACAGGTACTCTGCCGTTAACAGATCTCAAGGCTAAAGATTATGATGCATTGATGTTCCCCGGCGGCTTCGGAGCTGCGAAGAATCTCTCGAACTTCGCCGTTAAGGGCAGTGGCATGTCAGTTCATCCCGAAGTTGAAAGGGCGATCAAAGAGTTCAACCAAGCTGGTGAGTCTGTGAGATGTATCCTAGCTGGATAGATGTGATGCGTCCAAATAGGAGACAATATCAACTCTTCTTTACTCACCACTGTGTCCTCCTCAAGCTGTTACGAGTCGTTGCAAGCTGTCACATTATTTACGTAGGTCATCCAATTGGCCTAGTCTGCATCGCTCCAGTACTTGCAGCTAAGGTTTTGAACGCCGAAGTCACTATGGGTGAGTCTGGTGGTGAATTAGGGTGTGGGTTAATAGAAACATGGTTAACAACATGTGTAGGTGACATTTGCGACGGAAATTCTGAGGAAATTCTCGTTGGTTTCTGTACGTTTATACCCGAATTTATATATAAACTTCTAAAATTAGTGTGGAAATTCCTGGAGTTAGCTGAGGAAATCAAACAGTCATTCTAGCACTGGTGAATCAATGACTCAGTCGTGGGTTTTCCAGGTTCCGATGAGGTTAGTGAAGAGTATCCAAACGCATCTGCCGCGCAAGCTGTGAAAGAGATTGGCGGTAAGCATTTCAATACTAAGTTGAACGAGGCCCATGTCGATACGGCCAAGAAGGTTGTTACCTCTGCTGCGTATATGAACAACACAGCGCCTATTCATGAGATACACGAATCGGTCGCTGCGATGGTGAGGGAAACTTTGAAGCTGATAAACAGTTAAGCTATTGATTTTATGAATTTCTTATGTCTGGAAGTGTTGCGTTTTCAAACTGTCACCATAGTTTAATCATTAAAGTATGATAATCATAGTTATTATGATAGTCATTAAACTTAAATGGTAACTAGCCGAACTCAAACCCTCTTCGGATAAGATCCAAGAATCCTCATTAGAAAACGTATGGCAATGGTTAAAACACCAATGGTTAAATGGAAGTAATGAATAAGAGACAGCGAGAGGTTTGATCAATGCTCCACACTTTACCGATTTCAAGTTAGTAGCTTAAAGTGAGGGGATCTAGTCGATGAGTAGATATTATCATGTTATTATTAGCGGACGCCGCCACGCAGTGATGTGAAGCCATGTAATCATCACCTCTTGGCATTATCGTGGATGACCTTCGCGTCGGGATCGCTATCACCTACACCTTTCCGTATAGACATGAACTCGTCTCGCGTAAATGAATCATTCAAAGGACTGGTCTGTGAGAGTCAAAGGAAGTCAAGATCCACTATGGGCAGATAGAGAGTGAAAAACAGATTACGGTTGGAGAGATAATTCGTCGAATTTTGGTATTGATAATAACATTGGTTGAGATAACACCGCGGCTTCAGGAGGGGCAACTATGCCATAGCAAGATACACCCTGGTATAATCCAAATGCAGCTATGGATGAGATAGATATCTTCGGATGGGGCAACTATGCCATAGCAAGATACACCCTGGTATAATAAGGAATGCAGCTATGGATGAGATAGATATCTTCGGATGGGGCAACTATGCCATAGCAAGATACACCATGGTATCATCAAAATGCGGCTATGAATGAGATAGATATCTTCGGATGGGGCAACTATGCCATATCATGGATCTTGATTCAAGATAAGTGATGCATATATGCATCTTGATGCATATAAGTGTTGGCGATTTCGCAACGTTGTTTTCTTGTGAACAACTGAGTGTCACAAAATAGGACTTTGCAATCGAATGCAAAATATCATGGAAAACATTAGACTCGATTTTGACTGACTGATCGGATTTCCGTAATCGAGCAAACAGGGTTTCATGTCAAGTGAGATCTGCTCAGCGAGATTTACAGCGTTAGGATGCTCTAGAAATTTCTCAGCCAATGAGCCCGAACTCCCTTAGATGTTCACAAAGATGATGTAGATCAGCTCAGGACAATGATTTCCGACTGAACTATAGCGACACTGAGCCGAGGTGGACGATGTGCTACCTATTGTGGTGAGCAATGGCGATGCTCGCAACGTGTAAATTGCGGTCACTGCATTTCTACATTCTTAGCGAAAAACTTTTTTCTCGAGATAATGACTTAACCAATGTTTGACATCCCCGGATTCCCATCAAGCCAACTCAACCATGTAGCTGCTTAAAAAGTAATCATGAAAATCTTCGCTACAACAACAGCTCGCGTGCCTTCCTGCAAATCTGATCCAGAATTGCTCCCGTAGTATGGAAATGTTCCCTCCGATGTTTCTGATATTCGCTCATAAAGTTGCCGTTAATCCCAGAGTCGAGACCATTGCCGAGGTTGTCCACCATCGCCACGATAGCGTACGGTACCTCAGTAAAAAATCAAAAAACACACACAGGAAAAAACTCACTCCGAGCTCTCCGGCCAAAGTCCATTCTGAAGCACAAGTCATGCCAACCAAATGCCCGTATCTCTGCAACATGCGTACTTCAGCCCTACTCTCGAACCTGTTCATTAGGGTTGCTATGCTCGATAATTCCACATGTGTTGGTGATAACAATATGAAAATTCTGAGGAAATTTCAAAAGATTTTTATTGCTTTCTGTACACTTATATGAAGCCTTCCATAATTAGCTTCTGAGCTCAGCTGAGGAAAGCGAACATGATTTCCATTACCGAGGACCATTGGTCTGCGTGTAGACGACATCCGTTTCTGTTTCGTTCGCCTCACTGAGACTCACTGTATGGGGGCCTTCTTGGAAAGGGAAGAGCGTACCGGCAATTTTCTATAAATGACGAAAAAATGCGCTTCTCAAGTGATACAAAAACTTCTCACTTTGCGCCAAATATGATCATCGTGGTCACAGGGCGTGTAGTGAATGCGGCCTTTTTCACCCGAAAAAGGACCAACATCAGGATTACCCCAAAACCTGAGCCCACACATGGAGAGAAATAATAAATAATCGAGTTTCACCCGAAAAACGCGATTTTCGCGGGTTTATCCATGGATTGAAAACACTTCGCGAACTACATCGGAAAATCACCTTATTTCACGTGAAACACATCACGCGTTTTACACGTTATTCACTACTCAAATGAAACTCCAATTATATATAATATTTACGTCATAGTTCCGCGTTGGGGTGCAAAATCGATGAAGTCCGTTGGTATAGCAATATCCCCTATTCTGAACAGATCTGGCCTGATACTTCCGACCGATGCCAACGCGATGATCCTGCAAAAAAAACTCACAACACACTCCAAGAAAAGAAGCTCGCAAATTCCCCTTTTGAAAAAGACTCAAATTCTATAGAAAATTATATAAAATTTTCCATTGATTTTTTTCATCAGCATTTTCCACTGGCAGGCTAGGTCACATGACTTTCATTTCGATTACTAATTCGAAATGCCATTACACAACGTAACAGTGGAGTCTCACCCGTGATATGAAAAACACTCGTGAAGATTTTATTCCACATTTCACTTCGCGAAAAAATGCATGTGAGCAGTGGATAATGCCTAAAACACGTAATGTTTTTCACGTGAAATGGCGCGATTTGCCAAGTATTTTCAACTCACTTCACATACGCCACTTCACGTAAAACGTAACAGTATGACCTCAACTTCCTAAGGAGCTTACTTGTCACAGAGGAGCTCATGCGCTATTGCCCACATTATAGCTCTGTAGGGAATCTCATGTGGAGGACTATACCCCTCGCTGCTGCTGTGATGACGTGCTACGAAATATATGCAGAAATCATCTGAAAAAAATTGCAGAAAATTTGATCAAATTTTTCCTTACTTTCAATGTGAAGTGGCAAAATGTTGGTAACAATTCCATAAGGAGTCTCCACTGAAATTTTATCGCCTTCCGCGTGAGGCAGGTTCACACCGCTTCCTCCCAACACTCCTAATCTGACTTGGCCTTCAGGTTTTGGCGGGAGCATTCCGGATAAACTTATTTTTCGTGATAACAACAACTGCTCATAAATTTGAGGAGTATATCTTCATTTTCCTCAGCTGAGCTCAGGACTTTACATACGAATTCGGGTAGAGGTGTAATACAGAAACCAACGACAATTTCCCATAATTTTCCCATAATTTTTCCATAATTTTTCCAGAATTTTTCCAGAATTTTTATATTGCCGCCAACACATAGTTGACTCTGATCCTCCCGAGATTTTTTAACTTCAACACTAAACAGACTCATAAAAAGGAAGCCTTTTCAAATTCGTCTCTCCATAGCCTCCGCCGAATCTACCTTTGATACGATGAAAAAAAATACATGAAAATTGCCACCACTACTGAAGTGGTCGCTGTTGTTGCACCTAAGAGTACACTCACTATCGAGTAGCAGTGTGAGGGGGAATATACACATGGTCAACTACATGTGTTGGTGACAATATGAAAATTCTGAGAGGAAATTCTTATTAATTTCTCTACACTTCTACTCGAGACAGCTGAGGAGACAAACACTTCCAACCGAAAGGTCCCCGGTTCGATCCCGCCATACCGCAACTGGGAATGTCTGATTATGGTTTGTCGGTGGCACCACAATAACCGCTCCGCTTTGCATGCGGTTGAACCTAGTCAGTGGACATCGCCTTATACCACAAGAATTTTCACATTCACCATGGAAAAAATATTCCAACCTTACTATTCAAATCCTCATCAGTAACAACACATATGAAAACGCCGGCTCTTTCCGCGACAGGTACCATACGTATCGCGAATCGATCAGCCGGATTAGAAAGACCCGCACCAGCGACTCCACCACCGCACTATGAAGATTCCCTCCAACGCACTATGAAAAGATTCTCTCCAACGCACTATGAAAAGATCCTCTCCAACGCACTATGAAGATTCCCTCCTCCAACGCACTATGAAGATTCCCTCCTCCAACGCACTATGAAGATTCTCTCCAACGCACTATGAAGAGATTCTCTCCAACGCACTATGAAGATTTCTCTCTCCAACGCACTATAAAGATTTCCCCCTACACCACCACCACCGCACTATGAAGATTTCTCTCTCCACCAGCCCACGTACTCCCCCGCCACTTACAGCTTAAACCCATAAATAAAAGATGCACATTTGAGTAGGAAAGCCGGCAAGGCCAAACCTGTGATAAACCAACATGTCAACTCATCAAATCGATCATCAGGGCGCGCGCTTTTTGTCTTAGGCGAAGACTGATGTCATGTTACTAAACAACTTCCATCAGGTGGCATTTTGTTCGAGACCCGACGATAAACTAACTACCATTCATTCATCAACTCCAACACAATTTTTTCCGTAAATTTTCCAAATAACAACGCGGGAAGACTTCATTTCAGCGGAAAAATTGTATTTTTTCTGAGGAAAATTCGAAAATTTTCCTCTCAACTGAGCAGTGTTTCAGACTGCCACTTCAACAAGGCTTAGATATAATGATTGACAATCATATACTGAAGATTCACCCTAGTGATATGAAAAAAACACTAGTGAAAAAATATATATTCACGACTACTACATAGCGCGAATATCACGAGTATTACTTCACTTCACGCGAAACGCGCGAAACTCCACTAAAGTGAAACGATCATATTCGTCACCATAATTTTCCCAACACGCACATACAGTGTTAAAATATCTGTTCGCTTTCCTCAGCTGCTGAGCTCCGGAGTTTGTCGCCATACACATAATTTTATTTACACATTCTTTTTCAAACTATCAAGAATCCCACAAAATTTCCTCCCAGAATTTTCATACTATCACCAACACATGTAGTTGACCATATGCATATTCCCCCCCAGCACCTACATATAATTCCACTTATAAACCAGCCTGAAATCTCTACCAAATGCTTAGCATCGTTATACTGCGCGTCATCCCAATCTTTAGTCACCTCTTCACATTGGAAGGGTCCTCCAGCTGCAGAAGGAGGTCCCCGGTTCGATCCCGGCACCCGACATTTTTATTACATTTTTTCGTCTCGCCATGTGGTCCACAATATTCTACCACAACTTTCAGGAATGCCACCAAACCAACACCCGACATAATTTGAAATACCTAAAATGAGGAAAAAAATCAGAAAAAAAATTCTGGAAAAAAATTTTCCGATTTTCCTACCGCCCAGATCGCTCCGCACAAACCGCATGCACAGAACATACCAATGAGACTGCGGTCACTGACATAAAAAATAAAGTGTTGGAGGAATAAATGTCCGCTCTCCTCAGCTGAGCTCAGAAATTTATATACGAATTCGGGTAGATGTGTTCAATAATTTTCCCAAATTTTGATATTGTCACCAACACATGTAGTTGACCATGTGCATATTTTCTCACACAGGTGAGATTTCATTATTCCGTTGCGTTGGGCGAAAATTTTCCCAACGTAACAGAATTGCGTAAATTTTCCCAGAAAATTCGTAACACAATTCTGTAAATTTTTTAATGTGAGATCAAATCTAATAAGTTTTCATCACCAAAAAAATTCAAAAACACATTCTTCAAGAATGGTCAAGTTTCTTCCAAGTAAAACCTGACAAAAATTCAGCAAAAAAAACACAAATTTCCGCATAGAATAACGAAATTCGTGGAAATTTCACCCAAAAATCTTCGCTTTTTTCATCGCAATTCTTCTCACTTGTTTTTAGCCCCATAATATCCGCACGCAGGCACAAGCAGACCAATAACCACCGAAAAGAAGGTCCCGGAGGAAACGTAGTGAAATAATAAATCCTGAAAAAAAGTGGAAAACTTTATGACAAATTGGAAATTAGGGCGGATCGAAAACAAATGAATTTTTTCCCAAAAAAATTTTACGCGTGAACCGTAAATCGAAAAAAATTGAGAATTTTGCGAATGAGAATTCGCGCAAATTTTCGAAAATTTTCAATCTCACTCCACAGAGGAAGATATAATACTTAGCAGTTCCAAAAACATACGTATTTTATTTCCAAATTTTCGTAAGCGAAAATTTTCTCTAAAATTGATGACAACACAACTTCACATAACAGCACGCTAACAAACTCGTGAAAAAATATTTTTTTTCATATATCTCCTCTAGGTCAAAAATTTACATACAACATTTTCTGGAAAAATGGAAAAATTTGTAGACAAAAATTTTTTCTCCAAATGATTACGCTCAGAATAGTCGTGATGATGACCACTACCGCTGTTGCAATGCTCAAGCTGATAACCTGATACATGAAAAGATTCAAATCGTGCCCCGCAGCAAAGATACAAAATAGGTCCGCTTTTACCTTCCTCACGAGCATCGCTATTTCAGGACCTCCAACGTTGAGTCCATATACTAGGATGGAGTTCCGGGGGTATCCCTCCTCAGCGTTGGCAGGCTGCAGAGGCGCGTTGTAATTTTCCATCGAAAAAGTTGAAAATACCGGAAAAAATTTCTCAAATCTTGTAGCTCTCGATTTGGTATAAAATTAGTGCAGTAGTCTTGATAACCTCCTTAGTAAAATTTGAAGTAAAGTTATCATATTCCCATACATTGGAGTTTCACCCGTGATATAGATTGTGAATATTTCACGCACGATTATGTTGAGCTGAAATAGAAGTACTAACTAGTAGAAAACACATCACAGATTTCAAAGTAAAATTATCATTTTATCAAATTTAATTGATTTCCTTTTTATACAAGTTCACCTGTGACATGAAAACACATTTCACATCGCGAGAAAACGCGTGAAACCATTCACAGTGTGTAACGCCTATCTACTCAAAAACGACAGCCTTCTTCCTCCTTGGCAAGACCATGGTGTCTTAGCAGTAAGGTCAGCATATAATTTATATTTGCGTTAAACTTCAATCGTAATTGATCAGTACGTCAGTTAGGAGTAGCTCTGTTTTCATGCGCGTTCGCAGCGATGCGAAGAATTTCATGTCATGTTGTGTGATACAGCAGAACGATGCTCAATGGTAGGGATACCGCCATACTAGAAGTAATACCCGCCAACTTGGTTGCAGCATCGCCGGCTATCGTATATAAAGGGTTGTACATCCATTACTATTTCAATAGCCCTTGAGGTAGGCTTCAATCCTGACTGCACGCATGCACATCTGCACGCATGCGTTCGAAATCACATAAAGGCAATTCGCGGTTAACTATAAAGTGAATGAGGAAGAAATTCTGAGGCGCCTGAAATCATTGGTGACAGTGATCTCAGATGACTGTCACCAATGATTTCACAAA